TTTTTTTATTGTTTTTTCGAAATGATCAGAAAATGTCAGGTTCTTGTCCATCTTTACTCCTAGATATTCGTATTCTTTAGATTCTGTGATCTTTGTGTTATTGATCTTGATCTCCATAGGTTTTGATTTCGAAGTTCTCTGGTGTGTACCATAAAGGACGCACTCGGTCTTGGTCTTTTTAAGATTAATAACGAGATTTTTTGCTGAAGCCAGTAAGCAATCTGTTTTAGATCACTGTTTAACTTTTCTTCGATAATATCACAATTTTTACCAGCAACGTACAAAACAGAATCATCAGCATAGAGGGTCATTTCACATTGGCTTAAATTTTCATCGATATCGTTTATAAGTAAGGTAAAAAGCAATGGACCCAATATGGATCCCTGCGGTACTCCACAGGAAATAGCTTGACTTTCTGACAAGGCTCCATCATATGATACAATTTGCGTTCTACCAAACAGATAGCTCTCGAGCCAGCAAAGCTCCTTGTTTTTAATACCATAATTAAGAAGTTTAGATAGGAGTCTCTCATGGTCCACTGTGTCAAAAGCCTTTCCCAGGTCAATAAATACAGCTCCAGTCATAAGGCCCCTGTCCATATTGGTTCTGATGAAATCTGAAAAAAATGTAACTGCATGTTGAGTAGATGATCGCTTTCGAAAACCAAACTGTCTCTCCGAAAGCATATTATTAGCCTCAAGATAGTCATAGAGCTGATTGTGCACAACCCGCTCAAAGACTTTTGAAATAACAGGGAGTATAGAAATTGGTCTATAGTTATCCATGATCGTCTTTTCACCTGACTTGTAGACTGGTGTAATTTTAGAGCATTTTTCAGCACATGGGAAGATTGCCATTTCAAGACATCGATTAATCAAATTTGAGAGAGGACCAGCTATCTCGTTTGCCCCATCAACAATCAACGTTGTTGGTATATCATCACAACCAGCAGCCTTTTTTCTTTTTAGTTTCGTTAAAATGTCTCTGATGTCTTCGATGTTTGTCATTTTGAAATTAAAGGTTACCTTTTTGGGGTTCTGTCTATGATCCAATGTTGAGTGTTTGTGATATTCCAAACTTTGATTCACTATTGCTGGTAAAGTATTTTGCAATTTTCTGCCAATCGTCGCGAAAAACATGCAGAATTCGTTTGATATAGTTTTCTTTTCAGAAGTAATTTCTCCATTTATTTCAAATACCTTGCTGCTTCGATCTTTTGAGGATTTTGCTGGATAACATTTTTTAATTTGCTCCCAAAACTGCTTTGGTCTGTTAATGTTTTCTTAAAAGACAGATCTTGTGTAAGTTGCCTTGCTGTATCTGATGATTCGAGTTGCTGCATTTCGTAAGCGACGATATGTGGACCAATCATTTTCTTTTCCTGTCTTTCTTGCTTTCTTCAACCAGTAATCTCTCTCATTCATTTTGGATCTAATTTCATTTGTTAGCCATGGACAATCACGCCCTTTTACCTTTTTCTTTGTTAGGGGTGCATGCTTATCTATTACTGACTTCAATTGAATTTTAACTAATAAAAGCTATTGAATGGAAATGTTCTTGTTTTCAAAAAATATTTTTTTATGGAAGGTCTCCTTTGCAGTTTATTTTGGGGATTTAACAAATAATTAACTGTGTAACAAAGAATTTTTGAGGATTTAATAAAAGTCTAGCTGGAAACATTTTTAACATTCAAAGTAAATTTGATTTCTTGATCAAATTTTGGTAGACCTTGGTAACATTTTGGTAGTGATAGTCCTTTACTCAGCTTAGTCCATGGTTCTATAAGCTCAGATCTAGAAAGTTCCATATACAGCTTCAGGAGCAGGAGTAAGAACAAATGCTGTCATTATGACGCAGATGCAAATCGTACAACATAGTATAAAGTTAACCTTTGAACAAATTTTGTATAAGTGTTTAGCCATCATTAGCAAATAATGACTTTGGCATCACAGCTTTTGATTTGGATCAAATCATTTTCATAACTACTAGATCAGTCAGTTCCAGATCAGGGAATTAATTTATAACATAGAATGAATAATATTATATATAAAAGAAAATTCTTTGTTGAAACCCATCATCTCTCTTTTTAGCTGTCTTCAAACATAGTACTATTCATACTTTGTTCAAGTGAATAAAAACTCAGAAAAATTCAGCTGTATTCCCTTTTTTCTAGGGTGATTGGATTAAACCAGGTGCTGTTGTTATTGACTGTGGTATAACAGCAATACCAGGTATAAAATATTTTATTCTACACTTTGAACATCAAACACAGAGCTAAGTTGAGTGGGTCACTAGCTATTTATTTGTAAAAAAGGTACATAAATGCTATCTGGGTAATATTTGGTTGTGGTCAATGTGCATTAAAGATCTTGTAGATAAGCAAGTCTCTTGCTTTCTGACGATCAAAAACTATTTTCAGCATAGAGTAGACTCCAGTTATAGTCACACCAAATGTTGCATTAAAACTTTTTGACTGTAAACAGTACCTAAAGTTAGGGGCAAAAGTGTTTTTTGTGTGCATTGCGTCATTAGAGGAATGCATTACAAAAAAAATTTGTTCAATTCATAAGTGAACTGTTGAGCAAATTAGAAATTTATTTGTTTGATAAAAGTGGAGATTTTATGTATTATAATTGTAAGGGACTCCCAGTAGTGTATTTCATTAAACATGAATTTTTAACATTTTGTCTCCTCTCTTGTGTCAATGTATTATGCTTCTAAGTAAGATTCTTAAAAAGACTTTAAAAGATATCTATGAAATTTTTGAAATTTCATAAAAAAATTTGAAATTTTCTATGAAATATAAGGTTCCTACAGAAACTTATCAATACAAAAAATCATGTATAAGGCATTTTTTTCCCAATTCCTACTATTAATTTTTTTTGGCAAACTCTCCTATTCAGCTCTCACCTTGACACTTAAATTCAATGTTTTTTTTTCAAGATGCAACCAAGAAAAGTGGTCAAAGACTGGTTGGTGATGTAGACTACAATGAATGCAAGAAAGCAGCTGGATGGATAACACCTGTTCCAGGAGGTAAGTTTTTTTTCATATGGTTGAATACTATTTGACTGGCGATTGCTGGCCTCAAACGGCCAGGCCTGACCTTGAATAAAAAGAAAATATTCACCTCAGAAAAGTATGCAACCATTTTGTATTATAATACAGGAAAAGTTGATTTATATTCATGTTTTGAAAATATTTTGTGCATAAACATATGTGTTTTGAACATCAAAGGTAGGACAAAGCTGCATCTACTCCTTTCATGATACAAAGTAATTCAGGTAAAAATTTTGAAACCTTGCTAGAGTTTTTATGGGTTTTCAACATAGAGTTTTCATTTCCACCACAGATTTTGGGCTTGTTTTGAACTTTAAAGGTAGCATATCTGCAAAGGAACTCATAGTAGAAGACTTTTTATTTATTAAATGCAAAATGGGATCACCAAGAAAACTGTTCAGTTAGAAATAATTTTGAAAGGCTCCTCTGTGAAAACACAATAGATGGTTCATAATAAGGGTACTTGTATTTTGCTACCAAGCTTCTGAACACGCTGAAAGCTGAGACACTGGCAAGCTATGCTTATATAGCAGTTCCTGGTCTTTCCTCTCAAGGTGACCACATCCCATGATTGCTACACTTGGAATTACAGAGAGCTGGCAACTCTATTTATTCTGAGTGAAAGTTTTATCATGTCATTGGATCAAACCATTGGATCTGTAGTTAGCGACCCTAACCACAGATCCATCCTTGTAAAATGAGTATGAATTGGAAAGAGGATTTTCTGAATCTTACAATCAAGATGTTGTATGATTGATGTCAATATAGTTGGTTGGTTCAAGGCACTTTAAATATTAATTTACCACATATCTACTTCCTTCCCTTAATGTCAATTTTTTTCAAAATCACACTGTTTTGCTGATACAAAAGTATTTGGAAAAATTATATGTTCAATTTGTAGGCGTTGGTCCAATGACAGTTGCTATGTTGCTAGCAAATACTGTTGAAAGTTGCAAAAGATATGCCGCTCATTCAGCTCCACAAAAGGTAACATATGTTTATCTCTAGGTTGAGCATTGTAATAATCAACAATATAATCTGATGAGTTGACAAGACATAATTAGACTTGATTTTGAATAAACATTTTCCATGATTTTATAAATTCTCATGTCCTTCAAATTAGGTTTTTATTAGAATGCTGGGAAGAGTATCTTGAAAGATAAACTACAGTTGAACAAACATGACAAAACAACTTATACGACCAGGATATAATACTAGGCCACATTATGTATTCAGCCTAAGATTAGGGGAACTTGTTCACAGCATGACTTAGCAAGTCTGAACTCAAAGTGTCAATCAATGATACTACGAGTAAAAACACGCAATTTTGAAATTATTCTTTTCCAAGTCCTTTATTCAAAATATCAGCAGTGTGTTGTTCTGTAGGACAAAACTCAAGCATGATATTGTTCTTTTCAATTGCTTCTCTGATATAATGATACCTTATATAAATGTGTTTTGTTTGTGCATGGTTCTTTGTATTATTTGAGAGTGCTATAGCTCCTTGATTATCTTCATAGACTGTGCTTGGTTCTTGTTACACAAAACCAATGCTTTCAAGCAGTCTCCTCAGCCAGGCTGCCTCTGGTGTAGCAGAGCATAAAGCTATGTACTCTGCCTCAGTTGATGATAAGCTAATAACTGGTTGTTTCTTTGTTTTCTATGAAATAATTCAACCACACATTTTGAATAAATAGCCTGATGTTGACTTTCTTGTTGACGAATCACCACCCCAATCAGCATCAGAATAGCCAAGTAGGCTTGAATTCATTTTACTGAAGGATTCAGACCTGAGACCATAGCTCACAGTTCCTTTTTTATAGCGAAATATATGCTTTATTCCTTGCCAATGCATTTTGCTTGGGTGTGACATAAATTGTGAAAGAACTCCTACTGCTGCTGCTATATCTGGTCAAGTGACAGTTGCTGCATACATTTAACAGCCAGTTGCCATTTGGTACCTTTGAACATCAACTGGGGTCACATTTTCATGTAGTTTCACAAACCTCCTACCAGGCTCTAATGGAGTTGATACCAGCTTGCAGTTCTTCATATCAAACTTCTTCAAAATACTTTCCAAAGATTTTGATTGTTTTATCATGAGTGTCTTGGCTGCTCTGTTTCTATGAATATCCCCAGTATGTAGTGTAATTCTCCTTGGTCTACCATATCAAACTTTTGACTTAACAGCTTCTTTTCTGCATTTATCATTGACATTGCTGTTTGACACAACGAGAAGATCATCTACATAAAGAGCAATAATGACAAAGTTTACTTTTCCATCAGCTTTCTTCTCAGATTTTATATAGAGATGTGAATCAGCAGTGCTTCATTTGTATCTATTTCCTTTAGAAATGAGTCAATTGCAGTATTCCAGCAGCATGCTGCCTGCTTTAGACCATAGATTCCTTTATTTAACCTGCATATATGATTTGGTTTATCAGCATTAACATAACCCTCAGGCTGCTTCATGTAGTTTTTTCTTGTCCAAATTACCCTAAAAATGCTGTTTTACATCCATTTGATGTATTTCTAAATTGTTCTCGTTTGCCAATGCAAGTAATAAGTATATTGAAGAGTATCGAATGACAGGTGAAAATACCTCTTGGTAATCAATTCCTTCAGCTTGTGAGTACCCTTAAGCTACTAAGCAAGACTTAAAGCGGTCAACAGAGCCATCTGCATTCCTCTTAACTTTGAATACCCACTTGCTCCCAACAATATTCTTTCCTTTTGGAATTGGAACTAAGCCCCATGTTTTGTTTTTAATTAATGATGAGTATTCTGCATCAGTTGCTTCTTTCCATTCACTAGCATGTTCTCCAGTCCATGCATCCTGGATCTTTTTTGGGTCATCATTTTCGTCTGCTAGAATATCAGCACTGAAACAGTTTTTATTTTCTTCATTGACTTGCTCAGCCAGCTTAGCAGAAGAACGTTTTCTTGCACCTTGCAAGTTTGCAACTTCTAAAGTTCTCATCATATGTTTCTCCCACTGGCAAGATATTGTGGTTGACTTCATGATTCACTTCTTCTATAACATTTCCATCAACGTCTGAACTAATTTCACCATCAAACTCAATACATATATGATCAGATTTTGATAAGACAGTTGTATCAAAGTCATGAAAGTCTCTCTCTGAGAAGATAACATCACGACTGCAAATGAAATGTTTAGCTTGAAGATCATAAAGGTTATACCCCTTTGGGTAGCCAACGAATATAGCTTGTTTTGATTTAGCATCAAATTTATGACGATATTTATCAGCAATGTGCACATTAGCTATGCAACCAAATACTTTGAGATTTGACACATTTGGCTTTACACCATACCAGCATTCAAATGGTGTCTGCTTATTAAGTGCAACTCTTGGGCTGCGGTTTCTCAAAAATACACCTGTGCTAACTGCTTCTGCCCAAAATGAAGTTGGTAGTTTAGCATGATGTAACATAGATTGGGTGCTCTCACAATTGTCCTCTTCATGCGCTCCACAACACCATTTTGCTCTGGATTCATTGGAGTTGTTCTTTGATGTAGTATTCCTTTTTCTTTCATGTAGTCTATGAATTCTTTTGAGCAATATTCACCACCATTATCGGTACCAAGTATCTTGTCTTGATTCTTTGAACTTTTCTAGAACTTCACTTTTGTGCCTAAGGAAATAAACTTGTGTATACCGAGACGCATCATTGATAAATTTTACGAAGTACTTTGACTTCCCAATCGATTTCGCGTTAATTGGTCCGCAAAAGTCACTATGTAT